GTGTGTGTGTGTGTGTGTGTGTGTGTGTGTGTGTGTGTGTTATTAGAGCTGCTATTGATCTGCTAACTGGGCAGCCATGGGAGGCTCTTTAGCCCTAATCAGTGAAGATAGATGGGCCCCGTGTGTCTGACTGAACGAACCCGGGGGAGAGCAAGAAAACCAGGACCTTAATTACTACCACCTATTTACCTAATGGAACTCTCCTTGTCTCCTCTGCTTGCTATATTGCTAAACTAATTACCTAGCCCCGTTAGCCATCAAACCTACACTACTGCACACACATGACCTTGTGTGTTTCTTTGTCCCTATGTTTCCCATTCTGATCTCCAGTCCCTCAGGTTCGGTCTCTTTATCACTTTTTTTTTTTTCCTCTCTTTTTCTCTTTCTAGGCAATTCCCCTACTGAAGTCAAGGATGAACCACTCCCTTACTCTCTCTCAGGAGCAAATAGGCTGTCTTCTGGCCAATGCCTTCTTCTGCACATTCCCCCGACGCAACTCCCGCAAGTCGGAGTACTGCAATTATCCTGAGATCAACTTCTACAGGTAGAGGCCCGCCATCATTTCAAGAACTTTATAGATACAAAACAATGATCAGTAGCTCACCAGGGTAATGGAGTGAGCTGCAGTCGTTAGTGTTTTATTCACAAAAGGAAATTTGCCCCGTGAGCTTTTCGCCCTTTGTAAGCCATTACTTTAAGCAGGAGACTTGGTAGATCTTAGACTCAGATATGAATCCTGAGGTTGCCTCATTGCTTCAAGAGGAAGCTTACGATGCTGTCGTACAGGAGCAGGATTGGAGTCATTGACAGCATCACACTTTTTTCTGGTTCTAAATGATTGTTGAACATCCCGTGTTGCCCAGGTTTTATTGGCATAATAGACTTCAGCCGCAGTACGTGTGCATAAAATACATTCAAAGATAAGTATTACTGTAGTTTGATTATATCTATTACAAACTGGTAGAATTCTGATTGAGCTCTGTTTTTAGTGATCCTACCATTCAGAGGAAACTGATTTCCATAAGGGGGCACTACTGCCTTGAAAACCTTAATAGATGAGTTCTATTACTCAGCTTTGACTCATTTAGTGTCCAGTACGTTTACACACAGTAATCTGGGCCGGTGGATCTAGCTGTTAAACAAAGTCACAGCATGTGGTATCTCATTTGTTCTTTTGTCGAAGAGCATATTTCTGTTTTTGTATAGTTGTAAGATTAGTGCCTGCTGTACAGTGACCGCCCCTGTCACCTCATAGCCTTGAGGACGGGACTGTGGGCAGAGAGTCTCTTTGAGCTCCATGTTTCTGTTATGCCTTTATGAGTGGGAGGGAGATTCAGAGCCAGAGTGTTACATTTGTGTTTGCTGTGTCTACCCACTCAGAACCAGTGGTCTGTTAAGAAAGCCTGGGATGGCTAATTGAAACAAACTGTTTGAATATACTTCTTTTTTAAAGGCACTGCACACCTATCTATCTGTCACTGGCTTCTCACTATCTGGAGCAGTCATGTTATTTGGAACGGAGGGAGGTGATGCATGAAGGCAGTCAAGTCTATATTCTTGTGTCTGAAGTACACAAGCTCTATTCCAGTATTTATGGACTGTGAGCACCTCAGCACACACTGACTTGACATTGTCCAGATATCACCTCAACTCAATTTCCCTGCGTTTCTTTGAGGCACCATCTCCTCGTTAGTGATGTGTGATCACTTCCGGTGTTGTTGCCCTACAAGCTGGAGATGTCATTGTGGCGATACCTTATTTTGATAGTGCAGATTATAAAGGTTAGCTTTAATACTATATCATTTTTATATTCCCTGCAATCTGCATGGCCTCTAACTGCTATCCAGAGTCTAATTAGCCATCTGCTTTCCCTCGGGGGTCGAGCAGTATTATTTTATGAATCCCAGGAATGGTCATATTGATCATGTGTGATTTCCCCCCCACCCCCTTCAACTCCCCTATTTTATCTGAATCTTAATCGTACTCGCACAATCAGTCATCTGTATGGGTGCATGTGCTTCCACATCAAATGTTAGTGGCACGCTAAGTGAAGGGAGCTCTGTAATAATGTAAGCATTGATTCCAGCTGCAGGGCTGGCTGTTCAGACCCATGCCAGCGCTCGGTTTGCCTGCCTGCCTTCACTATTAGCATTTCTGCCGGCAGTGAAATACAGGAAAGAGCAAGAGGGGGAAAAAAAGTCTTGGTGTTTCTGAGAAGATGAGACAAGACGACCAGTGCTGTCTAAAATGGGCCCTGGATCGTTACTGGCCCTCCCTTTCCCCCTGTAATTGAGGGAGTGTCCGTCACTTTGCTTATCGGCTACAGTAGCGCTCTGTCTCTCTGCAAGCAATCTGCTGATTGCTGTTTTGGCAGAACTGTCAAGGTTTGTCCTCAGTTAAGTGATGGATAGATTCGAGGAAGAGGAAAGAAGGCAGACATCTCTTTAGCTTCTTTCCCTCCGTATGAGCAGATGACGTAGGAAGCCTGTTTAGCAGTTTAGTCAAGAACGAAAGCTCATTATTAAGAAATATATCTTCTGTTTTTGTTCCTGAACCAAGTGACCACAAGTTAGCCTACCTCATTTGCAGGGAAACAGCCTTATTGGTATTATTAAAACTGTCAGAAATCCTCTGTCTCCTGGTGCACATTATGTAGGAGGTAAGGTTACAGTGGATAGGAACCAAGTAATTAATATAACTTTTGATATGCTGGAATTGCCGAATATATTTGTTTTGTTTCTCTCACTGAAGAACTTTTAGTGCATTGCATTTTCATTTAATTTGCCCCCTCTGTTTTTGTTTCTTTACTGGTCTGGGCAGAACGTGGCAGGAGGGAAAATGAATGCTTAACAGTGATTAATCATCGGCGTAGGTCGCTTTTTAATGGAAGGAGAGTACCAGTATGGGATGATTTTAAAATGTCCCCCCAATGCTCTCTCTCTTTTCTCTCGCTCTCTCCCTCCTTGTCCCTTTCCTCAGTCCACCCTAGTTTTAATGGTAACTCTAAAGAAGTGAAACACGGCCTCGGGCATTCCCATTGTATGAAGGACAGAGGTAGATGGGAGAGACATTAAGCCAGTTTAAATGCTTGACCTCACTCCTGACATGTTGTGGCATGGTTGTGCACTGAGCTATAGATAATGCATCTGAGTGAAACATCCATGTCTCTCATCTGCTGAAACACATTACGTTTTAATTTAATATCAACACAAATATATATTTTAAGTAGCACATACTCTATTCAACAAAGTCTCTTCTAAACTAAAATTCTCATTTGCTTTCTTTTTCAGGTTATTTGAAGGTTCTTCACCAAGAAAAATTGAGAAATTGAAAACTCTGCTGTGTTACTTCAGGAGAGTTACACAGACCAGTAAGCATTAATGATACCCCACATCATCTCTGTAATGCTCTCCCATGTTTTTCAGTTGAAGAACATTTGTTTATTTTTGTGTCTCTATTTTCCTTTTTTAGAGCCCACGGGTCTTGTTACATTCACAAGACAAACACTGACCACTCCTCCTAACTGGGAAAGGTATTACTTTCAACTCTACTTCATTATTCATTAAATGACTTAATGACAAACGACGATCCATATTAAAGGACATTTGTTTTTCAAATGTGTCCAATATTTATTGATGCTATGTTTTGGGTCAGTAAATATTCTTTTTATGGACAGTGACTCTTTACATTTGGTTGAATTGTATCAAAAGATGTGAATGTCCCCACCACTTGAATGAACATATCTGAATGTGTCGATGTGGTCTGAGTGGCGTAAGGACCGCGCTATCAACATCAACACATCACGGTTCCTTTGCTGCTCATGTGCACAGCTGATCGTTATCACTCCGTCCTAAGAAAGTTCCTACAAAGTAATGACTTGAACAGTTTCAGGTGATATGTGTTATTGTATTTATTGCATTAGATCAGTTTACTTTTAGTACATGCACACTTTCCTGGAGCAAGTTGCGGCTTCACCTCCTTAGCATTGAATTAGTTTATTGTTTTAATACAGTGAATTAATCATTGGTCAAAGAATAACTGAACGTTTTGCTGTCTTTTTTTGTCAAGTTCCGAGACTCTGCTGAAGCGGCTTCACATCACTTGTGAAGGGACGATTGAGGATGATGGATACGGGATGCTGCAGGTAGGAATTTGTTTGCATGTTTTGCACCAAACGTCAAGTATAACTAATTATTCAGCCTGGCATATTTAAGGTATATTTTCATGACAGTGCCCCCCAATCTTTGTAAAAAGATTCCCCTTTTAAATGATTTCCTTTTCTAACTATAAACTCAACGTGGAAATTGTTTGGGCAGATTTGAAATAGCGTACCTGTTTTGCATTGGTAGTGGTCAAACCCAATAAACATGTCTCTGACCATCACCACGCCTTTTGTGAAGCTTTCAAAAGTCAAAGAGTCTCACTTGTCTGAATAGTTCTCCACAACCTCCCGACAATCTAAATCTGGTATATGATTTTTGTGTATCTGGGTAAATTGTTGGCTTTATTTCTGCATTGATTCACCCCATCTCCTCGCTCCCCTCAGTTTTCAAGGACGGCTGGTGTTCTTTTTTAACTCTAGCTGACAGCTGATTTTTACACTTGAGTAGTTCAGAGGAGGCAAGGGTGGAGGAGTAGACCCTGGGGTGGGGGGGTGAGGGAAAAGGAGGCACATGGAGGAAAAGATGACGAGGGTGAGCCATCTCACTGGGGCGACCCAGTGGGCCAGGAGTCCTCTCGGAGGATTGATGGCTACCTCAGCGGGCTGGGCGCTGGCTGTGTGTTGAGTTTTCATAGAGCAGAGTGGGCTGTCATTCTGTCAGGAGGTGAAATTGAAGGGTGAGGTCGGGGGGGGGGGTCAGAGGTGAACCTGTGAAGGAGGTGAGAAGTTGAGCGACTGGTTAGACGACATACACACATGCAGACACACTCACGTTCACACAGATTGACGCAGCTGTGGGCCAGTGAGCAGAACCCTCACCCCTGACAGCCTGTTTGAATAGCAGCATTTTGATTGAATACACTTTCCTCGTATCCATGCCACAAAAAAAAGGAGTGGGCATGAAGCTCCAGGATCACACCAAGATATTTGGCTAAAATATCCATTGAGTTTGAGGCTCCAAAAACCAGATAATGATTAATCTGCTCACAGTTTTTTCCATAAACCCATCACGTATATCTATCTATTACACACATTTTGGATCCGTGAATTCCTTGTTAATTATTGACCATCATATACATCGATACCGATATATCTGCAATGAGCTTATATCGACCAATATGTTGGCCCAGCTCATTGTGAACAATGTAATTGTAAAATCATCTTTCATCCTTTGGACTACAGGTTGTACTTCCCATTATCAGAATAAAGGATAACAAATATTAAGTACCCACTTGTTTTTACAAACCAAAGCTGGAGTGTTTCCTCTCTCCCTGTGGATACATCACTATATAGTGAGACCACACAGGGAATACCAATCCACTTATCCCATATTTAAAGATGGAGGCAGTCTGCAGACATTCATGCAGATTCTGCATTACTGCTCATCATCAACTGAAGATTTCAAAGATATTTTAACTATCTCTTTAGATTCTATGCGAGTTGTTCTGCTATGATTTCCTGATTTGATTATTCACTAGCAGGAAGCAGTGCAGAGATCCTTGGACATGTATCTGTGTTAAATGACCACAATGGATGACAGATAATAAGTAGACACTAATAGAGTAATATGTTCATGTAATGGGAGTGACAGTAGCTAAACCTCACAGTTCTTCTCAAATGCATAGAATGGGCAAGACGATATATTATTGTTGCTGAATCAAGGTTTGTGTTGTTGTGAATATACCTGAGGTATTTTGGACCATTTTGGTTAACTCTTCACTTTTTTCTCTTGTAATATTCTTTCATTAGGTGGACTTTGCAAACAGGTTAGTTGGTGGAGGAGTAACAGGACATGGTCTGGTCCAGGAAGAGATCAGGTTCCTCATCAACCCTGAACTCATTGTCTCGCGCCTCTTTACTGAAGCTTTGGAATACAATGAATGCCTCATCGTCACAGGTACGTAGTCACACACGTGCATAATACATATTTTCATATTCTACTTTGCATGGCATTAATTACTGGGCGTCTTGAAAAATCGTTTCACTTTTACTAAACCAAATGAAATCAATACCGGTGTACACCAGGGAACAATTTTATCGACTAATTACATTTAAAAACAAGAAAGAGCACACTGCGCTTTTCACTTTCCTTTGTTTTATTCAGAGCTCCATGTTTCATGGATGCTTCTTTTACTGAACTCGATCTGGTCCTTCCTTTGCGGTTTCCCTGACTTCGCTTCATGTGTTGTTGACAAATGGGATAAAGCAGAAATGTAGTGTCAACAAAGGAGAAGTCATATTTCAGAATAGAAATATGTAGAGTACAACAAATATACAAACACATATCAGAGTAGTATATAATAAATTCATATGAAATAAGTAACCACAGAACAATATTGAGGTAAGTCAAGAATTCAAAAACAATTCAAGTAACGGCATATGAAATACAATACCTTATATAAGTTCTTGTTCTTTGAGGTTTGGTTGGCTCAGAGGATTCCTAATAAGCAGACAGACGGCAGCTTCTGTGTGGCCTGAGTCTGCAGGACTGGAGGTTGCTCTCCAATTATCATGGCGTCACAATGCTCAGCCTCATCAGGAAAGCTGCAGTGATGGGACCCTTGAGTAGTTGTAATGAATTGTATTCTCGGCAATAAGTCAAGCAGCTTTCTAAGTGAATTGGCTTCGCTCATTTTTTGATGTCATGGGCAGAATCTCTGCCAAGTGGCGAGTGTGTTTTGGTGACCTCAAGAGTGCCTCTGCTTTTTACAAATGATGAAGTTTGTGTGGTTTTATCGGCCTGTAACCTCTAGCACCCACTTATGCTGGTTGCATCTGTGTATGAAATGAGTCAGCACCACACATATCTCACATGTCTTTCTAGTATTACACATAAAATTGGCTAAACTTGTGTGTTTTTTTTCATCTCCCAGTTATTTTCACTCATTCATTGAGCCCCGTGTGTTTATTGGGCTCCATTCATTTCATCCCCCGTCTTTCTATCCAGTAACGGTGTAAATCCATTGCATTGATTCACTTGTGACTGCCCAGTTATCCTTCATTCCTCTACAGCAGAGTTGCTCTATTTTTCAACCTCCAACTCACTCTGCTTGGGTCAACCTCTCTAAGTGTTCTGCCCTCTCACTCGCCTCCCTCCTCCTCCTCTGGCCCTCCTCCCTCTGGTCAAAGTAAGGGCTAACGCAGATTAAAATCATGGAAGCACGCATTTAATACAATACCCCATGTGCAGGTACTGCCAAAAAAATGAATTAACATAAATGTTGGGGTGGACACAATGTGATCGCTAATGTGTGATTTCATTCAATCAAATACACACATGTTGATACCTTCATTATCTTTGTTTGTAGTGTCATTGCAGAGTATGGAGAAGTTACATCTCATTGCCCCTTCACCCCGTTTCAAAATATCCTCCGTTGAGTCAGTTGATTGCTACTTGCATCATATTTATTTTATTGCTACTTTATCTAGCTTGACAAGCAAATATTTAACATACACTCGTCCTGCTTTGGTGCCTGTATCTCACAGGGGCATTAAAATGAGCCTTCAGATTTGCTTTTGATGACACAAGAGGCATCATTATCCGGTTTGATAAATCCATCTGTTTGACATGAGTGCATGTATTATAACTTGGCTGCGCCTGCAGAAACTCAAATATAGATGGTTCTCCCAAATGTCTGCGCTTCATTGATTCTGTTGATTCTTTGAACTTGTGCCTAGCAAGAGAGACACGTGCTCGGGTTGAGTACCGAACTCAGGACTTTTAAGGGTACAGACCGAATTACTTCTGATTTATGTTGAATCAATCAGTGCTCAATTTGGGTACTTGAGACCGCACCTTGGTGAGAGAGTAACTTGGGACTATAGAGAGAAATAAAGAGAGTGGGAGTACGTCACCGCTGCAGCTTTTTCAAGTCACAGTGAGTCAGGGCAATGGCGAGCCAAAAGCGGTTCTAAGGGTGGGGGTTACACTTTCCAAAACTCGACGCAGACAACGCTCGCTGCCGTGCTTGTAATGCGAAATGCAAAGCTGGCCAGGGCAACACGTCTCGCATGTGCTTCCTCCGAGAGACACATGACAGCGCTCTCAAGCCATGTCCTGTTGACAGACTGTGATAGGCTGGAGGTTGTAGGGATGGGTTTGGGAGAGGGAGGTACAGAGCAGTTTTATTTTGTGTGGTCTGTGTCAAATGTAATGAATAAATAATGTTGAAATTGGCTTTTTTTTTTTTTTACAACTGAAATTACACTTTTGTTATTACAGAGAGAGTAAAGTACTGAAAAAAAGGAAAAGTTGGGTACCAGTATTGGTTATAATGTGAACGGTACCCAACCCGAACATGAACAAACAAAACAGGACGAGACGAGGAGTTTGCGTGGTATATCTGCACCTTGCATATCTGCTACTGTGCATTGCTTGTTGCACATAGTCTGGTTGGAACAGCAGAGTAAAGAAAAGGAAGAACCAACGTGGTGTTATCACCCCTGATCCACAGTGGTCATACCACAAAGCACACACACACAACCAGTGCTGTTCAGTCAGTGTTAAAATGGACTTCTGTCTTGTTCAGTACGTCTCTCTTGTCTGGCGCCATGTTATCTTCTCTGGAACTCCCATCCCTTCTAAGTCACCTTCAGTGGTTAGTCATCGTCGTCCTCCCTGCCTCCCATCATTCTGCCTCCCTCCCTCTACCCCTCCTCTCCACTTAACTTTATTACATTTGGACAGAAAGGAATTTATTGCCCAACTAAGGTCATTGCTCCACTAATGGAATGGCCAGTTACGCCATAGATTCATTTAAACCTTGCAGAATATTCCTTGCACGCATTCAGTGTTTCCTCTTAAAGTCTAGTCTTTATTTCTAGACTCTCTTCTTCCGTCTTTGTTTTTCCTCTTCGGTCGAGTTAATCGTATGTCTTTGTCTTTAGAGGTGTCTTAACATTGGGTCTTTCAGTGCATTTGGAACTTATACGTCACATCAGTTTTTGTCCATAGGCGTTTCCGTATCGGAAGTTAGAGGGACACGATGTAATCTTGTGATGGAAGCCTGTATGCCAGGAGGCTTTCATGGGCGGTTGCCAGGATAAATAGGATCAAGGTGAAGGACAGCTCTGTTGATGGAGGAAGCGATACGGGTAGCCGGTTGTTTGACGTTAAGAGTCACTAATGTAGAAAAAAACTTTGAATGGATGTTTAAAATAAATGTTTAATTTGTTCATTCAGCCTAAGCTTTATTTAGTCATTTGCCCAGTTGTTGTTGGGTTATGTCTTGGCTCCAGAACAGGCCATTATCTATGTCATACTTTTACATAGAAAGGCACAAATCAAAAATCATCATTCACACTTAGACTTCAAGTATTAGCAGATGGTACATGCTTAAAATGAAATGAAGTCAATTTTGAGAAAGTAAAAGCAGCGTTTAATTACTGCTCTTCAAGAGATACTTTCAAGAAAAGACATTTAGCATTGCTTTTAAAATACATTTGATCTTCTCTTTCAGTAGCATACGTGACTCTGCCAGTACATACAGGAAAACCTCAATGGCTATATGAATCAAGTGTTAAGCACCTGCTCTTCATTGAGGTGCAGTAAAACTTCCTCGTCCCTAACGCATAATGTTTGGAGACTTTAATAGGCATCGCTTTCAGAATTGAACAGCTGTATTTGCATTTATGAAATCTTTGGATCTCTAACCGTGAGCTCACACCAGTATGGTATATAAAGAAGTTAACTTCTTAATGACAGACTTGTGTTACCCTGTCGGCTAATGAATGAGTCAGGAGTGTTTCATGTTTTGAAAGCATTTTGGGAATGTGGCCAAGGTTAGCTTCTTCTTCTGTTCCAACCATTTCTTCATATTATGGCTGAAAGCTTTTTATTTAAAAGCCCAAAGCGGATTACTTATTAAATCAATGGCCTTTATTTATGACAATCCAATACAAGCTGATACTGTGTACTCACATGGGGAGCGCAGAAAGCACTAAATGTGATTTAAGAAATAAGGCGCTGAAACGGATTTAGGCCCTCTGGGTGCTCTGACTGCTGAATACTGAGTAATGTCTTCTTTTTTTTTTCTACTTTCTTTCTTGTTCCGTAGGTACTGAACGGTACAGTAAATATTCTGGCTATGCTGAGAGTTTCAAATGGAAGGACAGCCACAAGGACGAGACTGCCAGGTATTTTTTCCTCACGTAGTACTGTTTGGTCAGTCAGAAAAAGTTGATGTGTGGATGTTTTAAATCATTGTCAATTCCATCTCTCTTCTTTTTTTTTCTTTTTTTTTTCCCAGGGATGACTGGCAGAGACGATGTACAGAGATAGTGGCCATTGATGCTCTTAAATTCAGACACTTCCTTGAGCAGTTTCTCCCTGAGAAGATGATCAGAGAACTCAACAAGGTGAGAGAGAGATTATGAATCCCACTGCTGTTCCTGGCAAAGCCTGTTCTGCGTAGCATTTAAGGAGCTAGGACTGGCCAGGTGTCTATGTTCGCCGAGGTACCGGTCAATGCCTAACCCTAACCAATCGACTCCGCCTCAACCAGGTGTGCAGGGCGGGTCTTTCCAAAAAATTCTGTGGGATTCATAATAACGCGCGAGAGAGATATTCTTGTCTGTTTGCACATAGATTGACCTGTGTAAAAGTATAGTTGGTTTACATACATTATTAAACAATCCTCAAACAAATGTGAGAAAAATACAAAGTCAACTCTTCCAAAAGATGTTGTCAGTAAGTGACGTATAGGATAATGCTGGACATTATGCTGTGAGTAAAAGCTCATAGGGGTGAACTTTGACATATCATTAGGGACCACCTGCAAAGATATTCGTTTAAGGCTCGGTGATCTGTCACACCACTGAATTGATCTCAGCGCTACCGACAGCTGACACCCAGCCGCTGCTCTGTAGCCAGATACACAATGGGGAAAAACAGTTGGCTCACTTCTATTTTTTGTTTTATTTGGACGGTGTGTTTGGCTAACCGCTAAAAATATAACAGAACGACCAGTATAAGATTGTATAAAGTGTATTATATGACAACTTAGAGCTTGCTTTCATACAAAGATGCTTGTTTTTGAGTTTGAATGTAGTGTTTTTGACAATGCTTTGCAGCTCGGGGTCTTATTGTTTTAATTAAACAGTTAACAAATCTAGTTTTCTACTTTTTCTGTTGAGGAATTAGGCAAAACATTATGCACCTGTGGGCACTTTCAAAGGCTTTATTGCAATTCACCACTGTGACTTTTTGATGTTCAGCCCACATTAGACCAACCAAACTGAAACCAACACTGCTGTATACTGTACATCTCAATACAGCACCCACAGTTCTAATATATTGTACAAATAGAACGTAGAAAAATATTGAAAACGTTTCTCTTGTGTCTATTTCCTCCCCACCTTCCCTTCCTCCCACTCCCTGTGCATGTATCCCAGGCATACTGTGGATTCTTCAGACACAACGCAGACAGCAAGCCCCTCTCTGCAGTAGCCACAGGCAACTGGGGCTGTGGGGCTTTTGGTGGAGACACACGGCTCAAAGGTATCGTTAGCTGAATTACAAACATGTATCCAGATAGATTGTGTATAACAACAGGTGTGAAGAAATAAAGCTCTTTCACACACCAGAGCTGAAATGGTACCACTGATATAGGCCAGGAGATGCGTAATATTCCTTACGTTAAAATATGAACCGTGGATTCTCAAGCAGGAGGTAAATATAAGCAGCTCAGATGGACTGCTTGTCGCAGCCATTGAAGCTCCTGCTCTCGCCCATTCTCCTCTGGTCAATTAGTAGCTCTCCCAGGGTGTCACTCACCTGTCCCGTCCCCCCCTTTATTGATCAGCTGACACACATTTATGTTTTCCATTAAAAGGGCAATTGATTACAGGGAGCGGACACCGTAAATCCAGGCTGATGCAGTTCTCTGCGGGCTTACACTACATCACTCTTCACAAGCAGAGGCCCCTGACTGTCCCCTCCAGTAAACCACACTGCACAGTTGTTTTTTTCTAGTCAATGTCTTTAAACATTTTAATTAACTGTTATGTTGATCATTCTTATCATTAATGGGGGCTGTGCTTTACTAAAACCCAAATCTTCTCATGAATGTCCTTCATTATTAATGTGATTGGAATAGCATAGGTATGTTTTTTTGTACAGTTTCATTTAGAACTGAAGCTGTTAATTTCCTCTGCAGCACACTATGAATAGATCCCCTGGATTTGACAAAGTCCCTGAGGATGATATTAGCTTTCGGGGACCCCCGCCCTTTAGCCCTGGAATTAGCATAGCCGGTATTTTTAGACGGCAATAACTGTATTTTACATCACAGTCCCGAAGCTGAACTGAGATGTGGTAGTTACATAATGCCAAGCTGTTATGTTGTTGTTAAGATTATAGACCTTTTGCAAATTATGTTCGTTTTGTGTGTTTTAATCTGGAATCCATTATGTTAAATATTTAAAGGTGTTAAGACCCAATTTGCAAGGGCTAAAAGATTGAGTGCTGTTGATGAGGCTATGCTAGCAGTGGTGGATTATTTACTCTTCTGATACAAATTGCTCCTGTCACTCGCGTTCTTTTCTGCCAGAAGCCCTACCTTATCCAGCTTATTGACCAATTACTTCCTTTCCTCAGCTTCTTTTCAGCGGTCAATTACACATTTATGATTGCATTCTGAAACTGAAGGATACTAATGATGCTAATATGGTAAATTGGTGTTGCCTGGATTTCTCTTTAGCTTCTCACCCTCTCACTTTCTCAGCCCTGATTCAGTTGATGGCTGCAGCAGAGGCCGGGAGAGACGTGGCGTACTTCACATTTGGAGATGCTCAGCTCATGAGGGATGTTCATGAAATACACACTTTCCTCACTGAGAGACAAGTCACCGTCGGTAAGACTCGCACACAAATGTTTTTAGTCTTTTTGTTTCGGGAGTTAGACTCTCTAGTCACTAAATTGCATAACAAACATGAATGGAAATGATACCAGCCGCTGTTAGGAGTGTGGGGCTCATGAGGCTCGTACAGCACACGGAGGTTGTTCCTTGCTGGCGTCATTACAGAGACAGTATGCATAAATAACAGAATGCAGTCCATCTCAATGTTAAGTTATTCCACCTCGTGGGCCATCTCTGTTCCTCAGCCCATCCATTCAGCCTCAGCCGCAGAGTGGATTACTGCCTGAGCTGACCCAAGCCATTTATTGAAGCCTTTCAGAGAAATTCCCCTCTAGCCATCCATTTCCTAAAGTGGAGCTACAGAGAAAAAGCTGACAACTTGTGTGCGTGTGTGCGTGTGCTTGATTTATAAATGAGCCCGAACACGCTTTCATTTTTCTTTTTTCTTCTGGTTCAGTTTCTGTCTCTCTTGCTTGTACTGTGACGACCTGTTTATTCTATGAGTCCACATTTTCTCATAAATCCTGTTTTTATCTCCCTTTTATTCCTTTCTTCTCTTGACCCCTGCACCATCCCCTCTCTCTATCTTCACCTCTCTTCTTTTCTCTTCCAGGGAGGCTGTACTACCTTCTAAACCAGTACTCCAGTTTGATGTGCAAGAATTGCCGCACGACGCGACCTGACGTCAGTCTCTACGGTTTCATCTATAAGAGAGTCTCTTCCCCTGCGGCTGCCGACGCCCCAGACTCTGCTAAGGATTCTGGGACGTCCTCTCTCACATCAGACTCTCATTAATACGGACAGAGCTGCAACTTAACCTCCCTCCCTCTGTCTCTACGTGTAAAAGAGACTCCAGGTTCCGAAAAAGCCTCAATGTGCTCTCAGCCTTGTGCTTACAATCACATTTTCTCTCACACACTCTCCCTTTAATTTTGTGATCCCAACATAAACTACCAAACACAGTTTTGCCTTTCTCGTTGGTGGTATTATAGGAGCCTCGTAGTATGTCACCTACATGTGGTGAAATGTTTCAGAGACTTATAGCAATAGTAAATCCTGGTTGCTGTTAGGCCTTTCTTTAGTCTAAATGTGATGTGGAATTATTTAGTTTTTACACCAATTACAAATATTGCCAAATATTCATCATATGCATGGTTGTGGACACTTCATTGTTAATAATCCAGGACATGATGATCATCCCTAGTTATCTTGTCCTATATTGTGTTTGCTTCTGTTGTGGATGAGTTGTCTTCTCTATTTGCCATATCCAGGCTGTGGTGATGTTCCTGAATGCAGAGAGATGATGAGATGCCATACTGTAGTCTATGCATGGGTAACATTTATTTATCAAATATTCTACAAACATATGCTGCTCTTTTATATCCCCTAGGATGTAGATGTTCAACTCACATATTGTCCTTATTTTAATATGAGTCAAAACCAACTATAACATTTCACCAGTATGAGAATCATCTCGGATGAAACGGATGCGTTTAATTTATGCTGATTTTCATCTTCATACCTTTGATTATATTCTGAGTAACATAATCATTTTCAAATATATTTGCTGTTAAGCACAGCAATATTACTGTACTTTATATACAAATTAATAAACGGGAAGGAGATAAAGAAATGGTTGCACGCAAAATATTATTTTTGTTAATGTTTTTACTCAACTTTTACTTTGGCGATGTTTTTTATTCTTTACTGTATTTTCTGATTGACAGTGTGGGTTCTATTTAATGATGGGTTCATAAATAAAATGAAAGGCTGTAAATGTCTTGCATAGTAGTGTATTTTGGTTTTTTAGGTTGTACTCTTTATTATCTTTTCTTAATTAAAGTATGTCCTGTTAAAATGGTATTCTCTGCTGAAATCATTATGATTTACTGCCTGATGATCAAAGGATCACCAATACAAGCAACACTTTTGCAAAATAATATGGGGACCAGCTGTTTATTGGTTGCATATCCTCGCTTCAGTTCACTCTCACCTTTTGATGTAAACCAAAAAAAAATGTCAAGAGGCCATTCTGCTGTATTTTCAGTATGTAGTTTATTTACATCAGAATATGATGGTAATGTAATTATTCATAGATAATATAGAAATAATTATTTCAGGAAATTAATGTCTCGTGCATGTTTGTAGTTGTGCCTCGGCGCCACAGATTTGTCACGTAATTTCACATAATCATACATTATTTAATCATATGGAAATGTGATTGATTTTTGTGATAGCACGTGTACCAAGGGCTTTCACACAAATTTAATTCGTCCTCCAAACATGCTTTATTAGATGAATTACAGCTCCTAACTACCCTCATGATGTGGACTTCCATAAATGGGGTGCAGGCTTGGCTAGGGTAAGTGGATTACACATTATCTGCTTTTCCCGCTCTTTGTACTGAGGCCGGCAATGAGCTGTGGTCTCAAAACAAAAGTCGATGTGGTTTGGCAGGCCTGACTGTTGATGGCTGCTGTGAGCCGGGGTCACCTGGACATGAACTTTATTTGGGTTACTGGTGCCTCCTGGATTTATTGACTGAATGTGCCAGCCAAATCCAGCAAATGAATAACCATAGTCAACAACAACGATGACATATTTAGACTTATTCATATATAAAAAACAATTTATGTCAACAAAAATAGAAGGTTAGAGAGATTGTCACTTGTTTAATTTCCCGCTGGTCCAGTTTTGGCCTGTCTAGTGATGTAATTATTCTAAAACAGAATGTAATTTAACGCTGAGCCTGGAATGTTACCCAGCGGCACAGGTCTTTTCATCGATAAACACTCTTAATAAAACGCCAAAAAGCAACTGGTCTTCACTCCATCTTTGTCAGGCGGTGAAATCACTGCAACAAAATGGCATTTCAGTTCATAATTGCCTGACCCTACGTTCTCCAGGTCAGCCGGAGACCAGCAGCAAACACGAATGCAAATAATGAAAAAGGAGGAACTCTGTCAGGAAACACTGAGCATGACTGTGGTTTGTTTTAGACTCAATGCATAGTGAATATGTTCTTGACGTGGGTTTGCTTTTATTGTTTGCTTGTATAAAGTGTGCTGTGCATTATGTAAATACATATTTTAATGGTTACATTTTATATTTTGCTGTTGTTGAAAGGGGAGACATAATGATGTTCTAATTCATGTGATGCTCTGATATTTAGACCTACACCGTTCTGTCTTTTAGATCCTCTTGCAGCTCTTGCCCACTCCATTTTCCCCTTTCCAGGGTTGTGTTTGTCATGATTGATAATACTGTTCATTCTGTGCCAGCAAGTATGAATGATGAAAATCTAGATGAGGAGGAGAGACGGAGAGGTTGGGGAGGGAGGAATGACAGAGGGAGGGAGGGAGAGAGGGCCAATTATCTTATTGTTTAACCCACTCAAGGTAGAAGCCCATCAATCTGAAACCACTTGCTCAAATGACTCATGTTCAGCCTTTATAAAAGTTTAATTGCCTTATATAATTAACACTGAGGGGAAAGACGTATGCGTGATGTAACTTAGAGGGAAAAATGACTTGTCTGGATGAGAAGTGTGTGCAGGGACTCAGAGTACGGTAAGTAGTCTGATTATAACATTGGTTGCTGTTACAAATAATACTGCACAAACACAATAATACATCTTTTTATTTTTAATCACTTAAGAAAAAAAAATGCATAAAAAGATATTTAAGTTTGATGATTCTTTTCCTTTCTCTGTTTCCCTGAGATGGTGTGTTGGTCCGTTACCTGTGCATCGCCAGCACCTTTGTGTGCAGCAGGGTGCTCGCTGTGCACAGGAAGCACCACCTGACACGCGGGGGGCGTGTCAAGCCACTCGGAGCTGTCACCTTCACTGATACCTGTCCTGTTTACATCCTGCGGCGATGACAATAAGAGTCTAAGGTAAATGTAATGTAAAGAAGTAAAACGTGGGTGACATTTGAAACCACTGTGCTATTTCCGGTGATACCGCGCGAAACGCAGAGACTAGGGGGGGATTATGAGGATTTATGTTGACGTTAAGGGATTAGTGGTCAAGGGGAAATAGACCCAGGATGAAGTAGGCAAAGATTCGGCATTGATTTCATCACTGTAGCTTGAAGAAGCGTGTAAAGCATCCTGCAGGAAAAGGTGAGAAAGTTAGTAGCGGTAGACGCTGCAGCGGCAGACCGTCATACTTTGGCTGTTCGCGGCGCTTCTTGCAGCTGCAGCGACTTTGTGCAGAAACAAACGCGCAGGCCGTTACGTGGCCGTATTTAGTCTTGCAGAGGTGTTATACGTTGCTTCGGTCAGTGGAAAGCCCATTCATGACGTGCGCAATTATAGTGCGATATATGCGCTCTGCCTCTGTGCGTAACGTACAATTTAAGCAGCTGAAATATTTTTTGATGCGTCACATTCAGAAATACCTCATTCAGAGGTTGTTTGTAATACACCATCAAACCCATTAATGCACACATTGTTGACTCTCTCTAACCCCCAACTTTCTCTTTGCCTCTCTCTAGCTATGAGTCAGTTTCGGGCGTTAGCGGGTGTGCTGAGGGGTGGGTGTGTTGGAGGGAGTCAGTGGCTGCGATGGTGTGGAGGTGTCCCGGCCAGGCGCTGGGTTGATCCCAGGAGAGGCTGCTCCTCCGGGGCCGGGCCTGTTCTCTCCGCGGTGGTCAGCAGCCCCAGCTATGTGGAGGAGATGTACTTTGCCTGGCTGGAGGATCATAAAAACGTCCACGAGGTAATAGTGCAACATGTGCCATATCTTCCCACATTACAGAATAAGAGATGACAATGTAAAATTGAACGTGTTTTTGCCCATGAATGGATATTTTTAGAGGGAACACACAGAGTTGGGTGGGAGTGGGTTTAGCAGCTACATTACCATAAACTGCTGTTGCCAGTGTTGGTCTTGAAAAGGGCACTTATTAAATGCGCTGGTAGCTCAGATGCCTGGGGCATCTATAAAATAGAGGCTACTGCTGCAATGTCTTGGATTCCTGTCCAGTGTTTCTCTGTCCTGTCATCCTCCAACCTAGCAGTCAGTAAGCAGCAGGGATACTCCTCCTCCGTGTTTGAGATGGACCTGTTTGCCTCTGCTGGATCTGTCTTTCTGTGTGTTCTAGTCTTGGGACACCTTCTTCCGTAACATCCAGGCCTCCAGTCCGTCTGGCGAGGCAGGTGAGAGACGCCCTTCCGCTCTGCTCCAGGGACGAGGGCTGTCCCACTCACCAGACATGGCACAGAAAGTGGTGGAGGACCACCTGGCCGTGCACAGCCTCATTAGAGCCTACCAGGTACTCCACACTCACCCGGCCCAGCTGTGACAGACACACACACACACACACACACACACACACACATCAGCTTGTATAATGTACATTTATTTTATTCACAAATTAAAAGATTGATCACATATCTCATGGGCATCTGTTTAAATTGTAATGCCGTGTCTGTGTACAGAATTAAGATGTCATCTACCCCGAGCCACAACTCGACGTGTGTGTGAAAAATGCATCAAACAAAATCCACTCAACTTGCCTAAACAGATGCATCTGGCAATGAAAGCTGTTTATACTCTGTGTCCTTGTATTAAAAGGAATATACAATTTGTTTGTCCCTGCACGAGGTTATGCAAATTGCAAGATTACCTCTAACCTACTTACCCTTGCTGCTTTTTGAAAACTGGAAATATCAAAGAGATTACTTAAACAAAACAGGAGGTAACATTTCCCCTCGACCTCAAATTAATTCGAAGAACTATCTGAGGGATTTATTAAATTCTGTCTTTTGGCAAAGGCATCACTTTTATTCCCAGTTTGATGCAATCCTGGTGTGTGTGTGTGTGTGTGCGCGTGTGTGTGCGCGTGTGTGTGTGTGCGTGTGCGTGTGTGCGCGCGCGCACCCACACGTACATGGACATAAAAGCTCTCCCATGGGGCTCTTTTCTCAGAAAAGCTGACCTATAGCTGAGTGTTAGCTTATTCTCCAGCTGTTCACA